ATGCTGATACCCTTTTGCTGATAAAATAAAAAAATATACTTTTGGAGTGGTTATTATAATGCTGGATAAAGACAATGACCAATATGCTAGATTAAAAGTGATGTCTAAAATCAAATTTAGTTGTGTTTATTTTCATATCCAGACGGATGTCAGGTACTAATATTAAGATGTGAAATACATATTACCTATTTTTTTACAAAAATATTGACGGATATTTACTCCACTCTCCATGTTCGTTGTTTGGAACAAATCGAATATTTCCTTCGAGAGTAGATATTGGGTCTGTTTCCGTTTTTCGACTTTTATACCCTCCAATGTATATTAACATTGTCATTTCGTTTGCAATTCCTCGAAATAACCTGGCAATAATTTGGCGTTTTTAGTTCCTAATGTATAGCACACTTCTATAAAAAATGATTAATATAGATCCAAGTTCAGGCTAGTCCCATACAATTCGATCTTCGGTATTTTTGCCATGTTTTTAATCGGAATTTTTTGTAATTTCATTTTCACCCCGGCCGAACTTAACCATTTTCTAAACTTTTTAAATCCTCCACCATAGTATGGAGGATATATTAATTGAGATAGATCGCCAACATTTTGCATAAGTTGTCGTTTTCCTGCAGGCAGGTCAATTTCGAAGATGGGCTATATCGGTCCAAATTTATCCATTGCACCCATATAAGGGTACCCCCAATTTTCGGTAATTTAGTGCGTTTTTCGACTGAATTCGCTGTAATTTGGTTCACTGGGTTCTTATTAGGTACCAAATTTCCCCGCTAAAAATTATAAATATAGGTGCATTTTTTTGGTAGCTCTTATAAAACCGTACCCCCAATTTTCAGTACTTTGGGGGCTTTGAGCGCATTTTTCGACAGAGTTGGCTGTAATTTAGTGCTTTGTGTTCTTATTGGGAAACAAATCTCTCCACAAATATAGGTCAATTTATTTGGGTAGACCCCATAAAAGGGTATTCTCCAATTTTCGGTATTTTTCTTGAACGCGTTTTCAAGCGAATTCGCTGTAATTTGGTAACAAATCTCACTACCAAAAATTATTAATATTGTCCCCCTTTTAGGGGTAGTCCCCATGTAGCCCTCTTTTTATATAAAAATAGTTATCTGATGGGGGATATTCGTTACTCGAAATTATCAGTTTTAACCCTATAAAATATGAACTTCCAAGAAGATTTAGCCATCTTTTGTAATCAATCCATCTTCTAAGGATATCGTGATAAAAAAAACTCCAACCTGACGATGATGACATACAACGGTCAGCATTTAGGCATCTCCCCCATATAATGATACCTCCTCAAGGAAAGTGTTGAGATAAAATATTGGGTTCGAAATTAAACTATATCGGCCATTAATTAGGCATACCCTCTCATATAATCATAACTCCACATATTCGCTAATTCCTAGCTTTGTAATCAATATTGGTCCCCCTTTAGGCAAAGCCCCATATAAGTTTGCACTCTAAATTGCAGCCTTTTGAGAATTTTATACATATGTTCCACTCGCTTTTTCACTTGCTTCTTTATAATATTGAAAACTTTTACAAGTATATGTCGACGGGACGGTCGGTTTTTTACCATTGTGTGCGATTTGGGAGTATCGCCGTTTCTAGGATCTAATCGTCCGTTTGAGCAGTATTTGATAAACCAACGCCGTCGTAAAAATAATTCGTCTACGATCTCTGTATCTTGAAAAAATCAAATTAAGCTTTTCATTTTTGAGAAAATGGCAAGCATTTGTTGAGACAATCTATAACATCACACTCAATGTTGAGAGCCATATTTTTTCTGAGAGAGCTTTAAAAATCTGCATTTGACCTGAAATAATAAAGACTGGACAAAATGCATTTTCCAAAAATATGTCAATTTTTCGATATAGATGGTGTTGGAGTCGACTGGAAAAAATGCAGATTTTTAAAGCTCTCTCAGAAAAAATATGGCTCCCAACATTGAGTGTGATGTTATAGATTGTCTCAACAAATGCTTGCCATTTTTTCAAAAATGAAAAGCTTAATTTGATTTTTTCAAGATACAGACATAGTAGACGAATTATTTTTACAACGGCGTTGTAAAATTTACATGTATTTTCCTATGAAATATTTTTTGCCCCATCATGTGGTTCATTTAAGCGTGGAAACCAATTAACCATAGGGGCAATTAACCGAAAAATACTATATAAAAAATAATTTTTCTGTTATACTTTAATTAGTCCCGATTTATAAAGGGATGAACTTCGATTTCAGCTATCTTAAAAAATTTACCAAATAAGGGCACATTCGGCAATCGCGTTTTCGATATGAAGCTCTCATCGTACATCTCTAGCTTCGATACATAGTTATCGAATATTAAAATAAAATCTCTACCTAATAAACTTATTTAGATGCACGGTTTTTTTGTACTTGATATGTTTTCGTAATATTTCGATTCCAGTTCGTAAGTATTTCGTGCAAAAACTTTTAAATTTTTAAGGCAATATTATAAAAAAGTAGTTAATTACAATGTGCGTCCTTATAAAATTAATTTAAAATATAATGTTTTTAGAAGATTACTGGAAAAAAAATGAAAAAATCTACAAAAAGTGTCTTCGGGGTACATTCGGAATATTAAAATGGGACACATTCGGCCATATGGGAAATCACAAAAATCTTTTAAATAAAATGAAGTGTTCTTGTCAAAATCTTAAAATATTGGTAATAAATAATAAGTTACGTGGAAGCTGTGATGGTGGTAATGTAGAAAAATGGGTAAAAAAGGGTTGAAGCCAACGAGTTTTTTTGTGTTCCTTCCTGATTTGTGGCTAAACTACGCAACGCACACATATGTGATCTGTGACTAAGTTGCAGAATACCCAATGGACAATATGGTTATAATGTATGATTTTTCGATGTAATCACTGCATCCACCCAAAACGGATGCTAACATTTTGAAGCCGAATTTTCGGTGTTTTTTAATTTTTCTTATAATCAGGACGCGCAACCAGATAATGGGCTTCATGTATATCTCATGAATGTGCTCGCCGTAGCTTCTTTGCAATTAGATTCCAAAGACGAAAATTTGGTGCGTAAATTTTTATAAAAAATCTATTTTTAGAGTCTATATTTAAGAAGGACCACTCAAATGCCGTTGAACCCCGCGTGATTTTAGATTTTTTAACGTGCCGAATCTAATCGGCCAAGATAACTGAAATCTGATGCGCATAAAAATCTTATGCTCTTTGCGTCATTTTTAGCCATTTTAAGGGTTTTTGTATAGTAAAGTGCATCGAGTGGCACACTTTGGCGTCATTTTTAGCCATTTTAAGGGTTTTTGTATAGTAAAGTGCATCGAGTGGCACACTTTGGCCGCTAAATGAAACATCGAAAAATTCATAATTATTGGAAGAGATTGATTCAATTTATTATTCAATATTGATCATTTGTATGCATTGTAACTGCAATACATTTAGTCATTTTACAGTCGCCCACCACCCCACCTCATTCTCGATTTTTTATTTTTAAGATTTTAAATGGACTGGTAAATGAATACCAATGATTGTGAAGGTTTGTAACTTTGCACAAATATATTTCAAGATTTAAAAAGGAAGTAAACTAATTTACAAAAAATGTTTGTTGTGTTTTTTGTGATCAAAGAAAAGTCCTTATTTTCGATGGCGAGCTTGATAACTCCTCACTGGAACATCGGAATCCGAAAATTCCAACGGTGTTAGAAAGAGTACATGTCTGGCTCTCGTATGATTACTAGGATTATTGACTTCGCACAACAATTAACAAAATGGCGGAACTTTGATTTTTTTTTTTTGGAAAATCGCTTATTTTTGACCACAAACTATGTTAAAAAATAAGGAAGAATTTTCACTTGAAATTTTGTAGGGACATTCTATAATTAGAGTAGATTCGAATTAAATCAAAACAATTTTTGACACCAAGAATGGGGGGTCCCCTTAATTTATATTTGAAATACAAGATTTATAATCGCTTAACTATTGTGCGCAGCATCCGAATTTGTGAACGTGAACAGATTTCGAATTAGCATATTTTCTTAAACAATGTACCAAAAATCATGAATGTGCTCGCAAAATTTTTTTTTCAATTTTTTTAATGGAATTTTAAAAGAATTTTGTAATTTTCCATATGTATCCCAACATGAAATTAAACAAGCTTAAATATGTTATCTTTAACTATAAGTGACCTGACTAATATCATTCCATACATATGCCTTTCTGCAACCTATGCTAGATTTCATTTCATTCCGTCAGATTTTGAGTCGTTTGCGTACAATGAGACAAATTTATGTAAATCGATTTATAGTACACTGAATACGTGCTATTCGGTATGCCGCACTGTTTAAAATTTAATCTAAATATGTATGGAAGCTATGTTTGCATCTGCACCAATTTCCAAAAAAAAAACCATAAAGCCATTCTGGCCTCAATTTGCAAACTGTCGTGTCAATGAACCGATTCAACGAAACTGGCAAGAGATTAAATTACTTAAAATTCAGTAAATTGTTCAAAATTGTGTGCCAATCGGACAAATTTTGGGTCTTTAGTGCACAATTTACATAAAATCGGAAGAAATAAAATATGGGAGCTATATCTAAATCTGAGCCGATTTGCACGGAACATTAACATACATTAATGTAGACTTAAATCGATGCAAATCGAAAGATATATCGGGATTTTGATACACCATTTACATTAAATCGGACTAAAATATATATGGGAGTTATATCTAAATCTGTACCGATTTTCAGGAAACATAATACTATGCCAAATTTCGTACAAATTGAAAGATAAACAGAGACTTTGGTACACCATTTACATTAAATCGGGCGGACGAACAAGCATCCATATTGGGGAGGCTTCGAAATAAATGCTAGTGGGAGAGCTTTAGCCTCCTACTTGACGGATTGCCCCAATATCGAGATATTTTCGGCAACTTGTCCCACCAGACCCAATGACAACGGCGGTTCCTTCATCGACGTTTTCATGCGCACCCCAGGCCTAGCCTTGGTGGGCGGCGGCTCCCCGGTTGCCTCTTTCGACTACGAGTCGGATCATAAGGCTATCGAGGTGCTGCTCCACTTGGGAGGGTTCGCCACCCGAGAGGCTAGAACCTTTTTCAACTATGGAAAAACGAATATACCTAGGTTTAGGTCCAAAATTCGTAATGGTCTTTCCAGCATAATTCTCCCAGCCGACAGAAACGTGACTGTGGAAGAGATTGACTCAGCGGTCCATGACCTTGAGTCAGTTTTCAGGGGCGCGATTGATGCCTCAGTCCCTAAACATAAGTCCAAATCTATGGCTTTGGGAAACCTTCCCCCCCATATTCTTGGTTTTATCCGGGAGCGTAGGAGAATCTGCAGGACCTTGCGCAGATCGAACGATCCTTCCCGCTTCCCTGCTTTAAAGGCCGATATCCGGAACTTAGATCGGATTATCGAGGACTCGATACGAATTTTCGAGCACGATCGTTTTCAGTCCTTCCTCGAAAAGATACAAGTCGACAACAACACCTTCGGGCAGGTAAAGGCAGCTGCCGGCCTTGCCTCTAGGGATCCAGTTGCCGATCTTGTAGGTGGTAATGGAGATCCAATCGTTAGTGACGATCTCAAGGCTGAAGCCTTAGCGGATCATCTCCAAGGTGGCTTTTCCTCCGCAGCTGTTCCGGTTGTCGATTCCTTCAGTAGTTCGGTACTTCGAGCTGTTGAGGGAATTGATGATCGGACACCTCTGGAAACTTTCAGTGGGTCTTTTGCTGCAGATGGCTCATCGATCGATGACTCTGCTCGTTGGGATGCGGCTGGTTTTGTTCGCCCTGAACATATTGGCAGCGCAATCGCTCGCCGCAGGGCCAAAAAATCCAGCGGTTTAGACCGTATCCCGGACACCGCCCTGAAATTGGCTGGGAATGTAGTTTTTACTTTTTTGTCCCTCCTTTTCAACCATTGTCTCAACCTCGGCTATTTTCCCACAGCCTGGAAACAAGCGATGGTTATACCCATCCTCAAAAAGGGTTCTCCTCCTGATAGGTGTGGTAGTTACCGCCCTATTTCTTTGTTGTCTGCCTTCGGTAAACTCTTTGAGTCCTTTATACTGGAGCGCATCAAAAAAATTGTAGAAGATAAGCGAATTTTGAAAGACAATCAATTCGGCTTCAGAGCTGGGCACTCTACTTCACATGCCCTCACGGTTTTCTCCTCCTTTGTTATCAAAGGGTTTGACAGGAGACGTGGTACGATTGCTGTAGGCTTAGATTTTGCTAGAGCCTTCGATTCTGTTTGGCACGACGGAATCCTTTACAAGCTAAAGCAATTTGGGTTTGATATCCAAACGTGCAGGCTTGTAGCCAGCTTCCTTAAGGACAGGAAGTTTAAGCTTAAGGTAGGCGATAGCTTCTCTAGTGTCAGAGCAATCAATGCTGGGGTACCCCAAGGTTCTCTACTGGGCCCCATTCTCTACAATATTTTTGTGAGCGACATGCCTGAACCCAGTGGAAATGGGTTGCAACTTCTCTATGCCGATGATGTCATTCTGGCCATGTCTGGGCCTAGAGCTAGTACCGTGACCGCAAGCCTTAACGCCCATCTTGAGGAGCTACACAGATATTTTTCTGTGTGGCGCCTCAAGCTGAACGTGGGCAAGTGCTCAGCGGTAGTTTTCAGGGGTAAATCTAAGGTTGTATACCCTAATTTTAGGTCCTTCCGCCCGATCCTGAAAATTGGGGGCGAGGAGGTGCAGGTGGCTGACAAAATCCGGTATTTGGGTGTCATCTTCTGCGAGAAATTCGAGTTCATCAGGCATGTGGACTTCATTCTCAATAGGGCGAAGAAAATATACTTTTCCTATCAGGGCGTTCTTCGTCATAGCGCTGGCCTCTCGAATGAGGTTAAATTGTTGATCTACAAACAGATAATCAGACCTGTTGTAGCCTATGCTTTCCCAGTATGGTACCTTATCTCCTCCAGCCAAATGGATAGGTTGAGAAGATGGGAAAGATCAGTACTATCGTACTGTTTAGGTCTTCGTCCCACCGTTAGACCTGATGGCTCAATAAGAAACCCTTCCTGTAGGGCGATTTATGACAGAGCCGGTATGGATAGGGTTGATAGATTCCTAATTAGGGGGGCCCTAAACTTTTTAGAGAGGTCGCATGGACTTCATAATGTGCTGGTGGAGGATTCCCTGCAGTATGAGATTGATCCGGAGTTCCTGTTTAGCAGAAAGCATCTGCCTCCCGCCGCGCTCGAGCAGCTCAATGAAGATGGCCTACTATTTGTAGACGACCAGTTGCTGTTCTACCATAGACGGCTAAACACAATGGACCTACACAACACTGTGTATATCACTACACAGTGATTGTGTTATCCATTGTGTATCTGTAAATATCTGTAAATATTGTAAATAGTAGTTTTAAGTTTTGTTTTGTTTTTTAATTTTTTTAATTTTTAATTTTAGTTTTAAGTCATTTACTTGCCCATTTTTGTTATTGAATTTTTTGGGGCCTTACTTATGTATGCATATAATTTGTTCGTTTATTAGTATCAGCTAGTAGTATAACTACAGCTATTTTATTTTTATGTAGAAGGTAGCGAATAGCCACACGTTTATTTATTTATATATAATTTAGCAGTAAGCCATACTTGTGGGGAAAATGAAGTCCACGAATGATTTTTACTCTGCGGGACAATTCAAATTGTATTGGCGTGGCAAAGCTACACGGACCGAATGCGAGAGCGAGAGTGCAAACACATTGGAGATTTAACCGACTTGCCGACACCCGAAGGAAAGCATCAATGAAAAGCTATCGGGAAAACTCCTTCAGTTGCTGTTCAACGTTTGAAAAATCATACAAATTTCGTAATGTCAGGCGGATTTTTTAAAATAGTCACAAACGAAGACTAAAACTGTATTGACGACGCGCGCTTCCCAAACAAACGGAATACAACGACGAGATTGGAATTGTTACAAAAAAAAAAAAAAAATTAAAAAAATAAATGTGTGTGTTTTGAAATGAAAATGAATTGGTTGAAGAGGTCTGTGAGTGGCCGCCAAAGTAAAATGTGAAATATTTTCCACAAAAAAAAGGAATGCAAATATATATTCAAAAGAAGGCCAATGCTATAAAAAGATTTATGAATGGCATTTAACCGCGTCCGCCGTGATTTTAAATAAAGAGCCATGGCAAATAAAAGAATTTGCAAATGTTAAAATTTTGAAAGATTCCCTTCACTTGGAGCAACGCGAACAAGGTGCGTACGTGCGTTCATTTGGCGAATTTCTGTTTTTTGTTGTTGTTGTTGTGGTTTTTTGTTAACATGATCCTTTGTGAAAAGTGACAGATAACACATTTTTTCGTCTAACTGTCTGTCTCTCTGTTCATCTCAAGTGCAACAAAATCCGACAGCGTTACGCTCAAGTGTTGTCAATTTACGGAACGTATAACTCCAAGAAGGATACAATTTCTGCAGAATGTTGAATCCTGAAATGGAAAGTGAAACCTGAATCTTTGTACTGTCGAGGGGAAATTGTCTGTCGTTTCGTGACTTTCAAACATGACTTGCAACACACAAACACACAGAATCTCATTTTAGTTGTTGGTCTTTTTTTTGTGTTTAGTGTGTCCTTTTGATTCGATTTTGGAGGCTTTCCAACTTTGTGCTGTTTGATGTCAGGACCATGTTAGTGGCTGCGTATGTGAGAGTATGTGTGTGTGTGAGCATGTGTTGGAATGTTTATGAACGTAAGCGTTTGTATGAATGTGCTAACGCCAATTGCTTAAGTGTTTTTTGTTTCTTTTTCTACCAAAAAGAAGACCATCTAAAAGAGATGAAACCATTAAAAAATAAAAAAAAGCAACAACAAATACATTAAAACACATATGAAAACGTCATAAAAAAGGCTGCTTCTTTAGGCCTCAAAATGTAAAAAGCTCAAATCGCGGTTGAGTGTGTGTGCCCTTTTTTACAAACGTCGGACTGTGTGAGTCTTTGTGTGGCTGCTGAGGTTTGGAAAAAACACCAAACGACTACAAGGATAATACAAACAGAAAACGTAATAAAAATAACACATTAAATACATATATATTTTTGTTCATGAAAACTGCCACAAAATGTGTCAAGAGATATGAGTCCTTTGGCAAATACAAGTGAGGCAAGGCAAATAAAACAAATTTCATTAGTTTCAAAGGATAAAACAAAAAAAAAAAAAATATATGGAAATTTGTGTTCAAGTGAAGGACCGTAAAATGAAGGGTGCTGTGAAAATGCTATGTTATTTAACGAATTCATAAATACAAAAAAAAAAAAAAAAATCAAGAGAAAAAAATTAAAATAAATAAATAATGGCCGTTCGAAATTCAGAGAATTTTGAATGAATGTAGTGTTAAATGTGACCATAACTGGCCGAGCCAACAAGTTGCTAAACTATTTGGTTAATTAATTGATATTAATTCATGTGTAAAATCAAACTATAAGAAAAAACACAAATTAAAAGTAATTAAAAAGTGCATTCAAACTTAGCCATGAGAAAAAATTAAACCATGAAATGAAAAAGCTAAAAAAATAATACATTAGCTAGAAATTTAGCGCAATATTTAAACAACAACATACAACTCAAACCTAAAACCAGTAAGGAAAGTAGTAGAAGTTGGACTGGGGCGACTATATGAATGAAGTGATGAAGGGTATCACTATGGGTATATTGAACAGATGCATCCTAACAGAAGTCCATTAACATGAAATTTGATGAACTAAAATATGTGACCTTTATTCAAATATGAACCGACCTGTTTTCTTTTCTTATTTAATTAACACGAAGTCGGTCGGAAATATATATGAGTTATATCTGTACACGCAATTACGTCATTCTATTCTAAAAAAAAACATGAAGAGTTTGGTGCACCATTTATTTAAAATCGGATGCAAATAGATATGGAAGCAATATACAAATATGAACAGATTTCAAGGAAAATTGTCACAGGTTAGGTTAGACTAATTTCAGCACGTTTTGTTCCTAATGGAAATATTTTGGGTTCTACTTTGGTAAACCATTTACATTAAATCGGACAAACATATATATGGGAGCTACATCTAAATCTTTACCGATTTTCCGGAAACTTTATACACACCGTTCTGAACTTCATCGAGTACGGTATGCAATCATAAGATATCGAAAGATACACCATATACTTTAAATCGGTAGAAAATATATATGAGAGCTATATCTTAATTTGAATCAATTTTTCCTAATTTCAATAGGGTTCATCCAATTAGATCACAAATGCGACATGTACTTTGTTTACAAATTAAAATCAACAGACGGGCGGACGTGAATAAATCTATTCAGAAAGCGATTCTATGCATATTCTAAAACGGAACCATATGTCTATCTCGTTTCCTTTTACCTGTTGCACAGTGTGGTGAAGGGTATAAAAAACCAAAAAAAAATCTATAAGCATTTTAATCTGCAGCTTATAAACAAATTTTATCATCCGTGTTTCATTCGCTCAAAAATTAACAAAATGGCGGACCTTTGAAAATATATTTTTGGAAAATATCCTAGTTCATACGATAGCTATACACTCATAGTTCCTGATTTGTGACGCACGCATATGTGCTATACACTGGGCAATATGTTCCTGTATTTTTTCGATATAATCAATGGATCCACCCAAAATGGATGCTGACATTTTGAAGCTGAATTTTCGGTGTTTTTTGATTTTTTCTTATAATCAGGACGCGCAACCAGATAATGGGCTAAACTGATTATAGGATTGTAGAACTCGTGATTTTGCTTCGTTTAGTGTATATCTCATGAATGTGCTCACCGTAGCTTCTTTGTAATTGGGTTCCAAATACGAAAATTTGGAGCGTAAATATATAAAACATATTTTTTGTGTCTAAATTTAAGAA